TAATCAGGACTGGAGACTGCTCACTAGCAGGATGTCAGAAACCCATTATGATTCCTATCCACCAAATGCCACGTCCAGTGCTGATTCCTTTGCTTGCTTTCCTTGACAGTCAGACCATCATGCCTTAAGCACGTTAACACCTCTGGAGGATTTACCTATTGGTCCTGTAAGTTAAAAATGGGGACATCCCACACTACAGATAAACCACCCTACCATTAACAACGTTTAGATAAACATTGGAGAATATTGGAACAAAACATGGAGAATGGGGTGATTCATAAAATTTATGTTCCCTTTGATAACAAACCCTCTTCCCAGTGGACAAGAGGGTCTAAGTGCAGAGAAAATGACTCAGGTCCACATGAACAATCTCAGGACTGAAAATGAAGTTTTGTTTTGTTTTGTTTTGTTTTTTAACGAGACAGGGTTTCTCTGTGGAGCCCTGGCTGTCCTGGAACTCACTCTGTAGACCAGGCTGGCCTCGAACTCAGAAATCCGCCTGCCTCTGCCTCCCAAGTGCTGGGATTAAAGGTGTGCACCACCACTGCCCAGCGAGAATAAAGATCTTGTAAATAAAACTCATGCCTATCTGGGGCTACAGATGCTTCATCTAGGAAGAAACTTGAGTAGTCTGAGTCTCAGCACAGGGGTAAGAAGGCAGATGCTGAGGGAAGAGGCAAAGTCTTCTCTTTACAGTCAGGCTTGTCAGTGTGAGCCGCCCACTGCAGGTGAACACAGAGCCTGGTCTCTGTGGGGCCCGTGTGGGGCTTGCAGGACCCTCTGCTTTAAGGAGAAGCATCTCTCCACTGCAACCTCAACCATTTGTGTCGCCATTGTATTCCTGGAAGTGGCTTTTCTTCTATAAGATTCCAGGGTCTGACTTCTGAAGAGAAGAAGGAAGAGGAAGGGTGGAGGAGAGGACACAAAGAGTCTGACCTGAGGGACTCTTCTGGTGTCCAGACAGCTTCTGGGTCAGAACTTGGAGACAGCATGACAAACAGCGCTCTGTCCACAGCACAGGGTTCAGGCAAAGTCTTAGTCTCCAGGCTGTGTGATCAGGAGTGGGGAAGCCCAGGGCTGGGGATTCCCCATCTCCCCAGTTTCACTTCTGCTCCTAACCTGGGTCAGGTTCTTCTGCCCGGACACTGATGACGCGCTGGCAGGTCTCACCCCCATTGGATAGCGCGATCCCGGGGAACCAATCAGCGTCGCCGCGGGCACTGGTTATAAAGTCCACGCAGCCCGCGGGACTCAGACTTCCCGGATCCCAGATGGGGGCGATGGCGCCGCGCACGCTGCTCCTGCTGCTGGCGGCCGCCCTGGCCCCGACCCAGACCCGCGCGGGTGAGTGCGGGGTCGAGAGGGAAACGGGCTCTGCGGGGAGGGGCGGGGGCGGCACCGGGGAAGCCGCGTCCCCGCGTCGCCCACCGGACCCTCCGCCCCTTCTCCACCCGCGTCCCGAGCCCCGCGCCCTGCTCCCCTCCCGGCCCGCGCACCCGCCCGGGTCCCGGGAGGAGGTCGGGGTCTCACCGTGCGGTGCCCCCAGGCTCACACTCGATGCGGTATTATGAGATCGCCGTGTCCCGGCCCGGCCTCGGAAAGCCCTGGTACATGGAAGTCGGCTACGTGGACGACACGCAGTTCGTGCGCTTCGACAGCGACGCGGAGAATCCGAGGATGGAGCCGCGACAGCGACGCGGAGAATCCGAGGATGGAGCCGCGCGCTCCGTGGATGGAGCAGGTGGAGCCAGAGTATTGGGAGCGGGAGACACAGAGAGCCAAGAGCAAGGAGCAGATTAACCGAGTGAACCTGAGGACCCTGCTCGGCTACTACAACCAGAGCGAGGGCGGTGAGTGACCCCGGGTCGGAGGTCACGACCCCTCCACGTCCCGACACAGGAGCCGGAGACGCCCCGGGTCCCAAGTCCGAGGTTCGGGAGCAGAACCGACCCGGGACCGGTTTCCCTTTCAGTTTAGAGAAGTCCGCGGGCGGGCGGGGCCGGGTGGGCGGGGCTGACCGCGGGGTCCCGCAGGCAATCACTCTATCCAGCGGATGTTCGGCTGTGACGTGGGGTCGGACGGGAGCTTCCTCCGCGGGTATGAGCAGCACGCCTACGACGGCCGCGATTACATCGCCCTGAACGAAGACCTGGAAACGTGGACGGCGGCGGACATGGCGGCGCAGATCACCCGACGCAAGTGCGAGCAGACTGGTGCTGCAGAGAGACAGAGGGCCTACCTGTAGGGCACGTGCGTGGAGTGGCTCCGCAGACACCTGGAGCGCGGGAAGGAGACGCTGCAGCGCACAGGTGCAGGGGCCGCGGGCAGCTCCTCCCTCTGCCCTCGGG